GAACCACCAATAGAAACTATCACTATCCTCCTTTGCTTTCCAGCTGCTGGCTCAAATAATTTAAAATTGTAATAAAAAATAAACATATATATGCTTGTTACATGTAGGAGACAACCAGCAAAAAAGGAAAAAAAAAAAGTGGTTAGGTTTTATGTCACGTTTGCATATCTCGTCTCTCTTAAAGAAGACCTTAGACCAGAAAACCCCTGTATGCCAACTATGAGCAAAAAAAAGACACAGTCAATAATACCTGGCATAAGAATTAATTATCAAATTAGAGCTCTCATTTTTCATTTGTAAACAAAAGACTTGGAGTAAAAAGAGCTAGTGTTTGAATTTCAGTAATAAGGATACATCTAGTAAAAGTGACATCTTTCACCTACACAGCCTTGTCAGCCTTGGTACGTCTGGAATAATTCAGAGTTCTGTAATAACATTTCTCTCTAATAGGTCTCTAGTCTGTCTAGTATCTAACCCATATCAAGAGGTTAGGAGCTACTGTGATGCATGAGATGAGTCATTTACTGCTAACATATTGGCTAGTCATTAATGCACATATTTTTTGCAGTCTAAACTGTTCCTCTATCACAACCTGGAACTCTAGGAGATGGGAACCCTCAGCTTGCCTAGCAGAAGCTTCATTCTCCCTGCATACTGAGGCATTCTTCACAAGACAGAATGAATTATGTTTATTCAATACAGCAAAGCCTTCAGGCCAGCACAGATTTTCAGTGTCTCAGAGAAACCTTTGGAGTCATCTCGCAAAGAACATTCATCTTTTTTAGAGATAGGGGACTTTCCCTCTTGTGAACAGGTCTTATTGTTCTCTGGTTTTGACCAACAAGGTTCACAAAGGGAACATGTTTCAAAGACCTACAGCCCAACCCACCCCAACAGATGTTAACACTAGTTGAAGTCAGGCAGATACTTACCATAAGTGATTTTTCAGACTGAGTATTATGTTTCATGCAAATGATAGAGCACTAGAGCATTACTACAAAACCTGGAAATAATTTTCACTGCTAAAGTGGTGTATAGATGACCAGAGAATCATAGAATAGTTTGGGTTGGAAAGGACCTTAAAGTTAATCTGGTTCCAACTCCCCTGCTATGGGCAGGGACACCTTTCAGTTGACCAGTTGCTCAAAGCCACATCCAACCCGGTGTGTTGCTCCTACTCAATTTGTAAAATGCATTTGTCCTTTTATGTCTCTTTTTGTTTGCATTTCTTTCTCTTTCTTCCCAGAATTAAAACTTCACAAAATAGTCTAGAGGAGGCCAGGTTAAGTGAGCATTAGAAGTACTATAAAGAAGTATTTTCAATCTGAGCAAGTTAATATTTTCCAGCTACATATCTATGTATATATATCTACTAACACAACATTGTCAAATATGGGATCGAATAAAAAAATTAAAAAAATATTTTGTTTGGGTTCAAATGCTGTGATCTTTAAGACATTCCAGATCTTATTTTATTTTGTTCTAAAATTGTCTAATACATTATTTCATAAGCATTAACATAAAACAGTTATTGGAAACTGCTAATTATTCTGATAACCACATGGGGCCTTAATTAAAAATTGTAATCCATTTCAAAATGTACATGCATATAATGAAAACACAATTCAAATATGTTGACAGATAGCTGGATTTTATTACTTAAGCTTAAGGAAATAGATACATTTTCTAAAAAAGTGCTCAGAAAGCATGATATTTCTTGATGTTGCAGTTGTTCTCTGCTATCCAGCAGTGAAAACAATAATTATTATCAGTTCTTCATGTTCTTAGGATTGGCATTGGTATTTGTTTGCATGAAGAATGTAACCATGCAAAAGCACAGTAGCACTTTAGAGAAAGAGAGGCTGCCAAAGTCTCTGGTGAGGCTTGCCAAAAAACCACTCACAGTAGGGTGTCTCTACTAGCTCTCTAAGACAGTGTATATAGGTCCTGCTCCTAAGGATAATCACCTGCTGCTGAATAGAACTATTCATTGAGGCTGAGGAGGTGTCTGAAAGTCTCAAACCTTTCAAAATTGTAGAATTGCCAATACTCTTGTTTTCTCAGGAGTCTCCTGAGGTTAACTTAGTCTTATGGCCATGTTAAGTACCACCCAGCCTTGGAACTGGAGTCAGCTTATAGCCAGACAGCTAAAATTTGGGATAGGTTGCCATATGCATCTTTACATCTATCTATGAAGCCATGTCCTCAGTCTTTCAATGTATCTTAAAAAAAAGAAAAACAAATCTTCACAGAAAATTCTGTTCTGCTCATGCTATCATCCTTTTTTTTTTCATTTTACATGAGACAAGGTTAATTGAGCCCAGAATGAAAATGGTATGATGAACTCAGATATATGTCACTCAGCTAAGAGTAAGTAGCTAGTTCCCATGACTAAATTCTTGTACAGATATGAAAGAATTCAGGCTAAAAGAGTGAGATGCTGATTTTGAGAGCCTACTCACCTTGAGGGAATAGACACCAAAGGGAACGATTTTGAAAAGTGGTGATAAATTGTGCTCCCTGTCTTTTGAGCTGTAGACTGGCAGGTAAACCAATGGTCTAGTAAGCAGATTTTGAAATCTTGAAGCAATTGATGCCTCCTCCATACTGTGGTGGCCTAAATCACCAAGCTCTTTGACCACTTGAGACACAATTAGCAATTTGGTGAGGACAGCTGCTGATATATGTTTGCTTTTGCTCTTGAAACTAAGGCATTGTAACCAGAAAAGTCAAGTGACCATAGAAAGGGTTATCTGACTGTCCTTCAGTAGTAGAGAAATTATATTATTTCTCTATGTCAGAATAGATATGTACTTCCTTTGCTATTTGGTTATGAGGACAATAGTCTTGGGAATAAAGACCTGAAAAAATATCATATTTACATCTTTCCTGCTAAATACCATAAAAACTAGGAGAGAGCCTCTCATAAACTTTCTATCTATTCTAATATCATAACTCTTTCATCATGGAGGTCCCACCTCTGCAGGTGGGTGGAACATGCCCTTTCCTGTGGCTGCTGTAATATTTATGGCCAATGCTGGCTCAGGGCTGGTAACAGGCCACCAGCTTTTGTGGAGAACAGTTCTGAGCATTAAGCAGATGTGAAAAAAAGACATAGCAATATTTTCAGACTTTTCTGGAGAAGTAGATAACTCACTGACTGAGTATCCTATGATTGAGCCTGGAATTTATCTGGGCAATGGGCATATATCTTCAGTAGCCAGGGCTGAACAAGTGTGGCCACTTTTAGCAATAGCAAACAGGAAGGCATTTTATAGATTTAGGTATTGTAAGGATTAACCAGTGCTGAAAAGAGATGACCTAGATAATGATCTGGGCTGTAGTCAAGTTTGGGCTTCTAAATCCTAATTTAGACTAACCTTAAATGATCCCTAAATTCTCTTAGTTTCATTTTAGATCTAAATCTTATATTGAATCTGGCCCATAAGGTCTTTCTTGGATCTGGTTTGTGATGTTAGGCACTTAAAAGACTTTTTTCCTTAGAGTTTTGAAATTTTTTTTTCCCAAATAAAATGTTTCTGCATGGAAAACATCTGTGATGATTTATATATTTTTTGTAGTAATCTCCTAATTCATTAGGAGCTGTATCTCCATTCAGAGGATTATTATGTAAATATATGTGCATAAAAGTAGGAAAGTTAACTTTTAAAAGGGATAGACACCTGGATTTTAGAAGCATTTTCATTTGTAGTGTTGTTTCCAGCTATGATAAATAAAGGTCTGAATTACAGCAGAAAATGTAGAAATTGAGAACCTGATCCTGCACTGAATTCCAAGTGAGCAGGAGGTTTGCCAACACATAGTTCCGTGCAGGATCAGGGCCCTAAAATCTGAATTTACAAGGGCTAACTTTTTTTTTCTGCAGTGTTCAAATGGACTGCTTAAAAACCCTATAAATGCTTCATCTAGACAGCAGGGCACCATTTCAGGAACTGATTGCCCATTATAGTACTGACAATAAAATAGGAAAATACCTCAAGGGAGAAGGAACAGGGCCTTATGACTTTCCCATTGAACTCAATGTGAAACTTATAATTTCCCAGCCTCACTCTACAGAATGTGTCAGTTTTCAGTGGCCATTGCATTATGCTCCTAAGTCTCGTTCAAGGAAATCTGAAATGAGGGGACTTAATACAGTGGAAAAACAGAGAAATCATGGCAGAAATCTGAGTTCACATATACAAAAGAATATATATTTTTTTCTTTATATTGTCTTCACTTTCCCCTGGAATGAATCAGCTAGAAGCAATACTCCTTTGATATACATTTTCTGTGCTAGATTGTTAAAATGTGCTTATCATACATAGAAGTGAGCATGTCTGTTTAAAAGATCTTTTAAAATTATTTTTTTCACAGATATTTTTAAAGACTCTGAAACAATATTCAGGGAGAACAAACCAGACTGATATACAAACTCATACATTCTCATTTCCTGCATCACAGCCAAGAAACCAATATACATCCCCCTCCTCCCTACACTGAATCTCCTTCGTGGAACTTCCGACAGTCTTTGGTAGCAGAGAGCACCTGTCTGGATAATGCGAAGGGATAAGGGAGTATGTTAAACAAGGGCAGAGGGAATTGGGGAGGGATGCAGGAGACACAGAGCTAATTGAAGCAAAGCATTTTATTAATCTAGAGTGCTGTCTCCAGGCATGCCTAAAATCTAAATAATGATACTGAACTTCAAAGCCCAGTTCTCCATTCCTTGTGCACTCACTACTCCTGCTTAAGTCAATGGAACTTCTAAGTGTATAAAAATGCAGAATCATACTGTGAATAAGCTGTTAAGAATCAATTAGCAGTAAAATCTTATGCTGCTTACAAGAAAAAAAAAGACAAACCCCCAACCTCTATTTGGTCAATTCTTTCCTGTCTATTTGTAGCATGAGTAGCTTGAACATCAAGGTATGTGATTTTGACCCTCTGGAGAACCATCTAAAAGCCTGGATCTCCTTTGAGACTTTATTGTTTTCCAGATGATTTATTCCGCTGATCTATTCTGCTGCCATTGGACACTGTGAATACAGAGCACATCAAGAATTGCGTAAAACCTGACTACAAAGTTATGCAGCTTCTCAGGTGGGCTCAGGGATTTAGCTTGTGTGTTTTAAAACTCTTCTGTTGTTTCAACATCTTTGCATATTGAATTATGTTAATTTCACTAAGTAAACATTAATTACTTGATGGTTTCATAGTGCTTTGAAGCTGTAAGGTATTCTGAAAATGATCATTATTAATTATAATATGTACTATTGTTATTTTGTCTTTATTTTTTAAAAGGAAAAGAACCACTTATCCTCTTCCTTAAAAGAGTCCACTTGCAGAGGCACAGGACCCAGTTCTCCATGTGCCTCTTCAAAGTGTGTGCAAGGATGTCATCTGCCTAGACAGGGAACACGGTGGGAAATACTATTGCACCAGTTATTACAGAACCCCGAATCCAGGGCATTTCTCATTCAGAAATATTCAGCTCTCTCTGAACAGTGGAGAAAAAGTTCTTGTCTATTTTCACATGTAATTTCATGTGTTTGGCAGGATATAATCACTGAATACACTATGGGCCACGATACTGAGCATGATGTCATATGGTCTGGAATATCCCTTTGGTCAGTTTGGGTCACCTGTCCCAACCTCCCATGCACCCCTAACTTCCTTGCTAGCATGGCAGTATGAAAATCAGAAAAGGCCTTGGCTTTGGGTAAGCCCTGCTCAGCAATAACAAAAACATCTCTATATTATCAACTCTGTGTTCAGCACAAATCCAAAACATAGCCCCATACTACCCACTGTGAAGAAAATTAACTCTACCCCAGCCAAAACCAGCCCAGTGTCTTTCTCATTTGCATTTAAATATTAAAATTCATATGAAAATTTTGGGATTGATTTCAATTTTAAAATTTCTGTGGCAGATTGTTTTATAAACCTTTTTTGTTATTAAAGAAGCTTAGTTAGCCTGTGGAGGTTGGCTTAATGCATTATTAATAATTGGGTGGTTGATACTTTTTAATAAGAATAGTATTTCATGGAGAAATGGGAGTTCATCCAAATCAACAGAATTTGTGAGAAAATGTCTATTTTAATTAAATTGATTAGATTTTGTGATCACAACGTACAGCAGCATACATTAAGATTTATTTGCTTTGTTTTATAACTAAACCAAATTAAATCAAATTTGTTTTCTATGTGAATTAATGTATTCGGAATCCATGGTGGGGTGCTGGCAGCGAGGGCTGCAGCAGGGGGCTCTGTGAGGAGTGTCCCGGGCTGCCCTATGCCGGACACAGCCAGTTCCAGCAGGGTTCATCCCACCCACAGCAGGGCAGGGCTGGGCCCTGCGGCCAGGAGGGTGGGTGGTGCCTTGGGGAAGACAAGTTTAAGAAAGGGTGAAACAGTGTTGTGCAGCAGCTGTGTGAGAGAGGAGTGAGAATATTTGGGAGAAACACTCCTGCAGACACCAAGGTCAGTGAAGTAGGGGGAAGAGGTGTTCCAGGCACCAGTGCAGAGATTCCCCTGCAGCCCCTAATGAAGACCACAGCGAGGCAGACTGTTTCCCTTCTGCCCATCGAGGTCCACAGTGAAGCAGATATCCACACTACAGTCAATGGAGGACCCCACACCAGGTGTATGTGCCCTGGAGGAAGCTGCAACTTGGTGGAGAGCCACAGAGGAGCAGGGAAAAGTAGGAGGAGGAGGTAGTGACAGGCAGGAGCTGTTATGGACTGACCTCACCCTTCCATTCCCCAGCTTGTGCACTGCTCAACATGGGGAGGAAGTTGAGTAGTCAGGAATGAAGTGGGAAAGTTTACCTTGAGAAAAAAGGTGAGTGGAGGGAAGGAGGATTGGTTTTTGTTTTGTTTCTCAATATCATATTTTTAATTGGCAATAAATTAAATTAGTCTTCCTCAAGTAAGGTCTGTATTGGCTATGATGACAATTGGTGAATGATCTTGTCTTCATCTCAATCCATGAAATTTTTCATCTTACTATCTCACCCATCCTGCTGAGGAGAGGAAGTGGGAAAGTGGGTGTGTGGGCACCTGGCAGCTAGCCAAGGTGAACTCACCCCAATAAAGCTCAATATTTTGGTTTAAAAAAAAATTGCAGATTTGACTGATCTGGTTCTATCATTCTATGCAAATCTTTTCTTTAAGTGTTGTCATAGAAGATAAAAGCTAAATCATCCTCTTTTTTTTTTCCCTGAGTGTCTCTTCAATATTCTCTAAACAGCTTGGTTTTCAATTACCCATGTGCCTGCACTTGGTGAGCTTTGCTGGTTTCAGACCTCTGTTGACTCCTTCAAGTTATAGGGCAGAGAATCGCATCTCCAATCTTCTAATATCAGTGGGTTTTCTATATGCCACTTTAAAGGCTGAAAATTTAAAAAAAACCCCAAAATACTCTCCACTTTCCTCTCTGTCTTCCTTGATAAAAGAGCAGCTGTTATTTCACCAACCTGACTCTCCTGAGTGTAAAACATTGGAAAGATATTGGAAAGTGCTTCTTTAAGGAATGCTCTGCTCTGCAAACTTTATCTCAAGGGAGACAAGAGAAGTAAAGAAGCTGTTAATGCTAAGCTTCTGAAATATTTCTGTAAGCAAAACATCTAAGAATAGTACAGCAATATTTGTTACCCAAAAAGGCAGCGTGTAATGGAGTGACTAGAACAGCCTCCCACAATTGAATATGCTATTTTACTAGCACAGTTGACGTATGTATGGTTGATATCTTTTGGGTACAAGCTGACTAAAAATTTTTAAGTGGTAATTAATATAATTTGCACATGTAAACAATCCCATTAAGATAAGTCCATTTCAGTGGATGAACACATACTTAGGTCTGTGCTGAACCTTATTTAATAAAAAGACACCTTTTCTTTATCTAAAGGTCATTTTGGCACCACTAATGGACACTTATTATTATCAGGTGGTAAAAAAATGGGAAGGAGAAAGCAAGGAAATGATCATTACAGTTTAAACTACAAAGAAGATAGAAGGAATGTCAGCAGGGTTGGGATGGAGCTAATGTCATATGTGGAACCAACTAGTGCATCCAAAACATTTTTGCAACACTGATGAATACCCTGGCTATGTGAAGATTACAGTACAGAGGGAAGTTCCTATGAGGGTAAATTGAAGAAGACTGTATGCTGGGAAAGAAGCTCCATCAGAGAAAAGTTGCCTGGGGTAGGTGAAATGCATAAGCAGAAAGTGATGTACTGAAAAGCTGTAGTTAAAGTCAGCAGTGGAATATTTTTGAAATGGTGTTTAAAGTTTTTCTCATGCAGCAATAGGTCACCCAAATTGAAAGAAAGGCTTCTGAGGTCTGGTGCTGGGGATAAAGTGGTGAGAGAATTTCACCAAGCTGGAAAATTCTTGTGACATCTTTCAGGGCCATTAAGAATTTGAGAATTTGAAATATTCTCAATGCTGTTGTTTGGCTGAAAAATTCACTGCAGAAAAAAAAGAAAATCAGCCTACAACACTGTTCCATTCCACTGAAATGTCTCTGGTTTTGCTATTGTTTGCTTAATGTGTAGATGTGTTGTAGAGTAACCATTACTTCAATTATAAGACATAATAGAATGTCACTAATAGAGTTCTTAATGACATTTTTATGTTAGTATTTAGAATACTAGAATAAAGAAGAATACTTTTACAGTTACTTTCTGGACATCAGACTAAATTACAATAAGAAAATAACTAATTAAAGCTGTTGGTCTGTTGATTTTGCTGTGCATTTTTCTATTAGTTTTCCTCATTGAGTTCTGGCCCAGATCTTCTCTTTCACAGATTACCAGTCTGAAACAAGCATCTGCTTGGGAAGGGTAAGAAGAAGAAGCTAGATAGCAAAAAGGAGGAAGAAATTTAAATGCACCCAGTGATTTAAGGCACTAAACTGCCTTAGTCCATATTCACAATTCTTTAAATCTATGAAAACCTGTTTTACAGATTCTTTGAGTAGTTGGAGGTGTGTTTCCTCTGGCTGTCCAGCACTGAGCACATTGACACTGAGCTCAGGGCTGAACTTGCTTGTGATGGTGGTTTTGATCCAGAAGTAAGAAGGTTTTCATGCAAAAACTTTTAAATATTCAGTCAAGAGGAGAGAAAAATTTAGTATACCCTAGTAACAGCCTGGGTGATTGACACATTATATAGATATTCTCCAATTAGTGCTGAATATTATATGCAGACATTGTCTGGAATTGTCTGGGACTTCTCAACCCACAGCAGAACATCCTAGACACTTGGATACAAAAACATCTGGTCCAAAATACTTTTAACTCTACATTATTTGGAAAAATAAAGAATACGTCTTTTCAGAAACTGTATTGAGAATCCTATTAGAGAATTTTGTTTTATTTTCCTCTGTTCCATCTTTTGAAGTTGTATAATATTTAGTCTAATATTCAGCTTTTATGGCACATCTTTTTTGAATTACTTACTGTTGGATCTCAGAATATAATATCTGCAGAGAGAGATTTGAGTGGTCTTTGCAAAAAGCTGTGGGCTACAGAAGGTGGGAAAAACCCTCTTCATGGACCTCATCCCTGTGGATTTTTCCTGCCTTCTCCAGCAGGATGTGAAGAGACTCTTTGCATGATGGTATCACATGCCCTGCCCAAACCAGAGAGTCCGCACCTTGATCTTATCAAACCTATGCAGAAGACCTTTTGTGGTTTATCTCTCCCTTTGTGTTCCCTGAATCCTTGCATTCTGTAAACCCGAATACCTTTTTTCCTTTGTAATTCCCCCAAGATAAAATGGGTTTTCCCCTATGATGTATGTGCAAGACCCCAAATTTGTTAATCTGGGTTTTCCCCTTATGTCATCCCCTGAACCCCCCTTTGTAATAATTGTAATAGTTACAACCCCCTGTTGCATACTGTCTCAGTTTAAAGAGACTGGAGCGTTTTGCTAAGGAGGATGAGTTTTGAGGTAGACCAAACTCTTCTCTCTCAGCAATTGTAAATCTGAAATTAAGAGGCTCAAATCGAGGAAGTATGGAAAAAGGAAGAAATAACAACCCTTTATTAAAAGATATATGTATATTGGCAAAAACAGTAACAGAACACAAAATCAACTAAGCAATAATCAATCCTGTACCCAAAAGTTCCCTTCAAAAAGGAAACAGTCTGATACTTCTCTGTCCTCTAGCACGACTCTAATCGCAGTTGGCAGGGGCCGCTGTTGGATCACTGGACGTGCAGAGCCTGCAGTGCTCTGTGTTGGTCAGCAGGGGGCGCTTTTGGGCTCTAGCGGCCACCGCGTGGGGACCCCGGATCACGGGAGAAGCCGAAATGGAGATCTCCCCCCCACCAAGGAGGGAAAGGGGAGAAGGGGAAAGAAGGGCAGTTTCTTTACCACGAAATTCACGTTGTCTGTGGCTGGCTGCAGTCAGGACTCCCCCCTTTCCTTGACGAGCACAAACTCCCTGATGAATTCTGAGCAGATTCGGTCTGGAGACAGGGCACCCCGCAGGCAAGCCGAGGCCAGAGAGCAGCCAGATGATCAGGTCGAGAGCAAAACGGCCTCAAAGCTTTTCCAACACACACACACCCCTTGCCTCAGTTAAGGCAAAAAGTGAAGTGTCCCCGGTTTGTAAGGAGAGGAGGAGAAAACCTCTTCCACCCTCCCTGCAGTTTTTTAGAAAGGCTATTAGCCTGGAATGCAGGTCTGCCAGCTAGTTCTTTTGTATAGTTAATTACCCCTTCCCCCTCTTCGTTCAATCTCCTTCTCTTACAGTGGGACAGGGGAAAGGAAAATTTCTGCTTGGATTTTTAGAACAAGTAAAGCTGTGACAAATATGTAGACCCTAAACCCTTTGAATATGAACTTGTAAGTCCAATAAACCATTCCAGTTTCTTGCCTCCCTGGGATCGTCTGGCCTTTATTGACCTCCACACGAGTTGCACAAAATTCCTGAGATGAAGAGTGAAACAAAGAGCATTTATATGCTCATTATCCCAACTCAGGCCCTAAGATGGAGGAGCTCTGCATTTTTCTATAACATGTTGAGACAATGTATAACCAAAGGAGAATTTCAAACCCTGGAGTTTCTGTGTCATTTCAATGGTTCGCTCAGTCAGCTATTTCAGCAAACAGTTTGCCTAGATTTGTTAGATTTCTTTGCTATAGAATCTCTATACTGTTACAGATAGAGTAACAGGTTCCTTAATCTTTTCATGTCAAAGAAGTAGTTCTTTTTAGAAAGATAGAATAGTAATAGCTTGATTTTTTCAAAGGCAAACTAACAGCAAACTCTTTAATTTAAATTAGTGGCATTTCTACAACTGGATATTGTAATATGTTTGAAGTTCTACAAATAGGCATTGTGCACTGGCAAATACTATTACTAAACAGAAACTACACACATGCCATGAAATACTCTTTAAAGAATAGCATTTCAATTATTTTTTTTGTGATACAAAATATAAAAAATTGGCATTAATTTATCAATATTTCAGTGTGCTTAAATATCTTTCCCATTTATTATTAGAGCTGCTATGAAAAAGGATTCTAGATGATAAAAAAATTTATTCTGTTTTATAAGGAATTCTCAATTTAGAGCAACTTTTATTCTAATTAGTGTTGAACAAGTCTACAAAAATGGAGAAAACACTACATTTTCAATAATAGCAGCATTTATGTCAGCATTTAATTGTTACTATTAATTGTGTTGACATAATTGCTGTTGGAAGATAATCTTCATTAAACTTTTCATTCCAAACTCGCTAAACTTTACATTGAGGAGTGTAATTTTCCATAAATAATTGTTGTTAAATGACCATACTGGGATCTATGACATGCATGTATCTCATTCTGTGTACTGTCTAACACAATCAAGCTTTTATTGCAAGTGTAGAAACAAGTAACTTCTGAAAAGTTTGGCATTATTGGCAAGTCATAATAATCTAGATGTAGATATAGATATATGGATATAATCTATATTTAGATATAATCTATATGTTATTTTGTAAATTTTACCATAAAGCATAGATTCAAACTGACATTGAAAATGTATGTTGAGACATCTACTGCTGTGATTCTGCATTTCTTAGTAATAAGGTGTTGCATGACATAGATTTTCTCTGTAGCCAAAGTTCATATATGACAATTTGACTTCTATTGCCGCATAAATATGGAATATGTGCTTTCAGTTATAATCCCTGTAAATAATCCACCATCTGAGTTTATTGTAGTGGAAAACTAGTCATCTGAACCATACAGGGGAAAGAAAACAGTTAACAGGGATGAGTCTTTTAATTTACCTTTACAGCTATGTTAAGCAGACGCCTGCAACTGAGCTATTTGTGTAGGCCTTGAGCTATTTGTGTAGGCCTCTTTTGTTACTAGTGGAGAGAAACAGGGTCTCAGTCTGTGATTCATAGAATCCTAAAGTAGACGTCTATAGTTGGTCTCATAAATTCTATCTTCTACTGCCTATTGATCTCCATTGGATAGAAAAAAATTGAAAGTTTCTAGTAAATATGCAGCAGTTTACAGACTTCCAAAGTTAGGTGAGATGTCTTCTGAATACTTACTAAAGTGCTATGATATAAAAAAATTATGTCACTTTGTTTTTTTAGTGCTAGTGATTTTCAGCTATTACAATACTTTTATTCTGTGCAAAATTTATCTCTGTTATACTCTGTACAAGGCTACATAACTGAACTATTTGGTCTTATGCTAAAATGGTTATTTTTATAGCTCAGTCATATAACTTCATAAAATATATTAATTTAAACATTTTATAGTTTGCATGGCATGTTAGGGAGGAAGGAGGAAAGGTGAGGCAAAGTCTAGTGAAATGAAGAGGTAAGAGAATGTTCTTCGTAGTTGTATGAGCTTTGCAGAAACAAACATAGAACCTTGCTTTTTCCTTGAACTTGTGGTTATCCTTAACTGTTATCTTATAATCTAACTTCTTTTCTTTTGTTTTCTTTTTGCCTATACTTTCTAACTTGCTTATTTTCTGACACTGTTCAAGTATGAAGCAAAGGCACTATATTTAAATAAGCTGTAATTCCACTTAAGACATAACCTCCAGATGAATTCAGTTTTACAAAATTTTCATGGATGACAATTGAGCAGCACAGAAAAAAACCAAAATTTCTCCCCTATTAATGGACACCCCTCTACAAACACCTCATTTATATTTCTTACTTCTACCCTGGAGAGGGCCTTTACTTTTCAGAACCTGGCCCTTACACTGTAATTTGCACATCATGTTTTACTGAGAGTGCAAATATTGTCACCCTCTAAGGTTACTTGCATTTGCATGCCCAAGTTGTATTGTAAAGTGACAATTGGCAGCATTTACTTTTTTGGCTGCCATTTCTTCATCTTGCATAATGCATTTTTCTTACATTGGAAGATGAGGCCCAGGAAAATTATAAAGTTGGAGTGCACCTGTGGGATGACAGTGTGATGGACATCTGTGAAATAAATGCAGACTTATGGTGAGCAGGTTCAGCTGCAACCCCTTAAAATGACATTGTATAATATGTCAGGCTGAAGTGGTAGACTGTTGAACAACCACAGAAAAACATTACATCATGTAAAACTGTGATACAAGAGGAAAAATGACAACAGTGCGCAAAGCTACGGCTGATCCTGCTTGCCATATGGTATGTAACTCACTGTAATAACACTTACATTGCCTCAGTAAGTGCCCTTAAATATCAGGGAGTGAATAAGGCATTACACAGATTGCAAAAGGAATTTGCAATCATATACGTTAAGATCTTTTTACTTTCAGGAATTATTCTACTCTTACATTAACAGAATACTCTTTAAAAATGCATATATCTTAGAATATTCCCACAACTAAATAATTTAAAATCTGGTTGTTCAAATGATTAAAAGCAAGGCTTCCTTAGTCAATATAAAACAAAAAAGCCCCAAACCATGAACAAATAGCTGCTATAATTTCTCTTCCTTTTCCCTTTCAGAATATTGTGATTTTCACAAAAATGTGATTTTCACAAAAATGTAATTTTCATATGTTTATATATTTTTTGAGAGTATTCTGTTCTTAGTGATCCTGATGAGAAACTAGATAGCTCGAGTTTTTTGAAAGATGATAATTTGGTCTTTATTGCAGATGTAGGGTAAACTGTTTGACTGTTCATTAATTCTCACAAGGCAATATCTAGAGAGCCCTCAATGCAAGTTTCAAGGAGCAGTTTTGGAATAAACAGAGGAAGTACTTTGTCATATCACGCCTGTAATTAAATTGTGGAACTCATTGCCACAAGATGTTTCTGGAGCCAACAGTGTAATTAGATTCTTAAAAGGACTGAGGTCAGCCCCATTTTCTCTATTGAACACAGAAATCTGGAGCCTTCATCTCAGGTAGTAGTCCCTCAGGCTCTTATTGCTGCAAGAGCATGCCAGGAGAAAGGACCACTCCAGGCATGCCTGTTCCCCATATTCATGACTGTTAGAGGAATGCTAGGCCTGGTGAATCCTTGTCCTGATTTAATCTGCTATTTTATGGTAGTATTTACATTGGAATAAATTCAGGTCCAGCATTGTGTTAGTTATTTCCTGTGTCTTTTACTGGATACCAACACATGGAAAATAAATGAAAAAACTAAACCCTGATTTTTTCTTTGTTTTCTCTTAATTTTTTTTCTTTTCTTTTTTTTTTCCCTGTCCTTGGAAAAATAAAAAGTAAGCTGAGTTTGAGGCAAACATGAATCATGATATCATTTATTCTTTTATGAATGGGTGAGTTTTTAGAGATAAGCAAGTTGCTTACTATTCTGACAGGCTATAAGGAATAAATTTGGTCCTTTATTGATTATGTGAATAAAGGATTTTTTTGACATTGTTTTCTGATTTTAATATCTTCTTCATATACT